ATAACATTATTGGAGCACAGAGGCTTTTTGTAGGGGATAATATTATTTATAATAGGCCATGGTCGGCTCAATAACTACAACTCAATAATAAGACATCTTTAATTTTATATCTTTATGGAAGTTTTTTGTTTTCAGTTTACACTAGCTAGAGCTTGGTCCTGTAACTGTTGTTGTATTGTGTTTTGTATGTTGTAGTTTTGGTTGTGGTGGCGGGATGTTTTTTGTGATTATGGACTGGACCTTTAGCTAAGGCTACTGAGGATCTAATAAATTAAATTTATGACATTGAGAACATATAATATTGGAAGTCATCATAAAAGACGTGCATCATGGGATGTTAACAATCACTTGATTACATTATTCTACATAAACTACAAATGTTCGTGGTTACACCACTGAAGTGTGAAGCACAATATGCCAATTTTAAAAGTAAAAATGTAAAAGTCTTAATTTTCAGATGGCTTTGTGCTAGAATAATAGAAAAGTACCATTTAGACTTGGTCTTAAATGTCTACTTTCACCAACTAAAGTGAATATTTTTATAATCACTTTAGGGGAGATCAAGCTGATTCCATTAAAGCCATTTTAGCAAACCCTGCTGTCCTCCAAAAGCTTTTCCAGGTGTTGGGGAGTTTAATATTGACATCACAGTCTCCTGTAGCCCCCAATCCTCTTAACAAAGGTCCAGTGCTAATTTTGTTTAAAGGTTAGCGTATAGAGGGCCCAGCTGGACAACAGCGGCTGTGTGATGGAGAGAGGGCGGAGTGGGAGCAGGTGATGTTAAGAGGCATCCAGAGGTGAGGGTGATGACAGCACTCTTGGGCGAGGTAACAGCCGAAAGGCACTTCAGCTGGCACACCGAGTGTGAAAAGCGCAAACCAAAAGTTCACATTAAGCACAACATTAGCTTGTATGCCCTCAGACACTGCCACAGACACACATAGACAAACACACTCCTACATGCACACAACCTTTCAGCTACTCATTCAAAAAGGTGGTTCAAACCCTTCTGGAAACACACTATGAAAATGCATTTTGTCATTTCAGGAAGCGAGTATTTAATATGCAAAAATTTCACTCACAGTGGCGTTTCACTGTTTCCACATCACTTTAGTTAGCCAACCAGCAGCATAATGCTAGCCTAAATAAATAAATGGCTCAAAGAGACAGTCTGCTAATTAGCCAGTTAGCACCGTCTTGAGTCACTCACTGACAGCTAGTCACACTGTCAGCCTTATTCAGTCAAATATTAAGGCTACTGAGAGCTCGACCTATTTCTTTGACAAAATAAAATGCCGTCACAGTTACTTGGACAATGACTTTAAGAAATAAAGTCATAAACTGAGCAAATCTATTGTGGCTGCTGTCATCTTAGGAGGCATAAACCAATCACACAGGAGCTTTGTCAGGATGCCTGCTTTCTGTCCGTCAGCACAGTGAGTGTGTGTGTGTGTGT